TTTGCATATTTTATTACTCTTATTATTACCATTATTATTTTAACATCATTATTATTTTAGGTTTTCTTTTATTTCCATGATTAAATTGTTCTCTCACCCTATGAGTCTCCTTCCCCTTGCCCCCCAATTCTCGCCCCATCCCCTTGGGGGGAGCGAGCAGCTGGGTTTGGCTGCCTGCCCAGTGCAACCACCACAAGTTTTTGGGTTGGGAGTTATTTCTCACTGCTTGTTTCTTTGGTGGACTGTGATCTGTTTGGGAAGTCCTGGACCATCTGTCAGAAGGAGGATGGGGACAGTGTGAAAATAACCTTCTGCAGGGGCCTGCGGGCCGGCCAGCTCGTCCCTGATTTTACATGACCACCTCGGCATCTTTTCTCTGGAGACTGTGACATTAAGTCATGTGTTACTCTATATTTCATGTCTGTTCTTCTCTGTGCTATTTCTGTTTTGACTCATAGTTTAGGAACATTTCAACTCCTCTAAGTTACATTAGAGCATTTTTACATTATTAGGTTAAATTTACACTTAATTTTTAAAAAAATTTTAAGCCCTTTTTAATTTCAAAACGGGCTGGATGGTTTGGAGTTTTTCATGTTGTGTCACCAACTTGTATTACAGAACTTCAATTCCTTCAAATTCTAGTGAAAACAGAAAAAGGGGAGGATAGATCCATAAGGGACTGGGCAATTATTGACCTTCTGGTCGCTGGGCTTCCTGACCCATGGAAGCTCCTCAGATCATGCTGGCTTGATGAGGAACTGGAACATCTCCAGCTCTGCTCGCCTCCCTGGTTTGCCAGTTCTGTGATGCATTAAAATAGCATTAAAATATTTATTTCCCAAATGATATTGGAAACAGGGCAGAACCGCTGTCGTAAGAAGTCCTCGCATGGAAGAACTATGTTGGAAACATATTTGAGTTTTTCAAAGGCATTTCTTTCTTTCTCTCAGATTTGGAAGTGGTTTATGCTGAAATTCTGGCTAAAGGTGCAATTAATTTCTTTTCTGCTTTCATCCCTGTTTGTAGTTCAGAGTTGGATTGGTTCCTCATCGATGTAAAGCCTGAGCAGTACATAATCATACTTTTAATTATCTAATCTGGGATGTTACACCAATTTTCAGTGTCTCAGGGTAATGTGCACGTGCACAAAGCTTTGTCACTTGTCACTTGAGCAGTGCAGAGTTTGGGGCGTGTTGCAGAATCAAGATCTCTGTTCAGCTTCTTTTCTCCCCAATATCTCAATTAAAAAAAAATAAAATTAAAAATACTGTGGTTAGGGGAAAAAGAGAGACAAATCTTTGGTTGTGATAGTCATTGCTTCACACCTGACTTAGAGCAAAAGGAAGAAATGCCTTCATGCAAAAATGCTTCTCTTCAGGTAGCAGCAGTGGGTGAGCAAGGATCTCTGGAGCATCATCCATCCATCCATCCATCGAGGTTTGTGATGTGGACACAGGCTCTGTGAGTGGGTTTGCTCGAGTGAGCAGACTAGAAGGATGTATGCAGAGAAAAACTGATGCCAGGAACTTTCAGTCTGATTTTGGTTTAACTGAGATATTTGAGACTGAACCGGCAGATTCCCACTGCTTCAGCTCATCCTAATTTGATCCCACTACAAAGTCAGGGATATGTCTGTAGACGTAATAATCTTAATGACTGAACTGCAAGATCAAGGAGCTGTGAAGGAGAATCATTTGATGCATGTGTTGTCAGTTACTTTCAAATAGTGGAATGGGGAGCTGCATATTTTGATGGGGAAACCACTATATATAAGATATCTAAAGATGCTAAAAATGTGGTTCTTTTCCATTTGCAGCTCCCAGCCCCACTACAGCTGTTCCTTACATGTCAGTGAAGTGCATTGATGTCAGGAAAAACCACCACAAAACCAAGTGGCTGATGCCTTGGGGACCCAACCACTGCGAGAAGCTCAAAGACTTTGACGAGGCGGTGAGCAGGCAGATCGAAGCCAACGATATCGTCTTTGCCGTCCACGTTCCCCTGCCCAGCAAGGAGATGAGCCCCTGGTTCCAGTTCATGCTGTTCATCATGCAGCTGGACATCGCGTTCAAGATGGACAACGACCTCAGTAAGTCCCTCTCCACCATTCGTTAGATGCTGGCTGTGGTCTGATGGCCCAGCGTGTTTCTCTTAAAGCTGCTTTAATCCTGCACCCCGTGTTCACTGCTGCAGGGGCTCCCTACAGCGAGGTGACACAGGAGCACGTTCTAAAGGTTCTTCCACTTCTCGGAGTCGGTGATGAGACATTTCAATGTGTAACTTTGCAGGGAGAGCTGTTCATGCTGCACTTGGTACCTCAGCAGATGAGGAGCAGGTTTGCTGTTGAAAGCACGTAGATCATCAGCAACTACAAGGGTATAAATCCAGCAATTCGCTGGATTCATCATAGTTCCTGGGTTTCATACAGTTTTTCAAAGTATTCCAGAATCACAGAGTGGTCATGGTTGGAAGGGACCTCGGGAGATCATAGAATCCCAGGCTGGTTTGGGTTGGAAGGGACCTTAAAACTCCTCCAGTCCCAACCCCCCTGCCAGCAGCAGGGACACCTTCCACTAGACCAGGTTGCTCAAAGCCTCATCCAACCTGGCCTTCAACACTTCCAGGGAGGAGCAGCCACAGCTTCTCTGGCCAACCTGGGACACTGTCTCACCACCCTCACAACAAAGAATTTCTTCCTTACATCTCAGCTCCATCTCCCCTCTGCCACTTTCAAGCCATCACCCCTTGTTCTGTCACTCCCTGCCCTTGGCCAAAGTCCCTCCTCACCCTTCCTGGAGCCCCTTCAGGTACTGGGAGGCCACTAGAAGGTCTCCCCGGAGCCTTTTCTTCTCCAGGCTGAACAGCCCCAACTCTCTCAGCCTGTCCTCACAGCAGAGCTGCTCCAGCCCTCGCATCATCCTGGTGGCCTCCTCTGCACTGGCTCCAGTAGCTCCATGTCCTTCTGCTGCTGGTGTCCCCAGAATTGAACACAGCATGGCAGGAGGGGTCAACGTATATCTTGATCAACATACTTGATTAATGTACATGGAGAAATGAATAGTTGCTTTCCTCAAACATGGGAAGCTGAGCAGAGCTTTGCAGTAGCTTTTTCTCTTCCTTCCTTGCATATCTTCTTCCTCCTCTGCTGTGGCTCAGCCTTGAATAATTAAAATACTCTGCTCTCTCTTAGCACTTCCAGAAATAAAAGCTGGCTTGACTCTCAGTCTCTTGTCTTCTCTCCTGTTCACTCCTCCGATCCACTGTTTTGATGATAAATAACACTGTTTTGAAACACCTTTCTTTAATCTTGGAGCCAAGTATGGCGGAACATCAGCTCTTGTTTCTCTTCTCCTTCCCCGTGTGCACGTACACACAGGCATGTAGCCTGCCCTTAGTGTTTGGAGGACTTCAGGGGTGTTAATGCTGTGAATGAAAAGGACACACGCTCCCAAATTGTCTATTCACAGAATCCAGAATCACCTGGATTGGAAAAGCCCTTGAAGCTCATCAAGTCCAACCATGAACCCAACACTGACCAGTCCCCTATGACTAACCCATGTCCCTCAGCACTGTGTCTACACGACTCTTCAATCCCTCCAGGGATGGGGCCTCCACCACTGCCCTGGGCAACCCCTTCCAATGCCTCAGAACCCTTTCAGCAAAGAAATTCTTCCTCACATCCCATCTCAACTGCCCTGGCCACAACTGGAGCCCATTTCCTCTTGGCCTGTCCCTTGGTCCTTGGTTGAACAGACCCACCCCCACCTCTCTCCACCCTCCTCCAAGGGACTTGCACAGAGCCACAAGGTCTCCCCTCAGCCTCCTTTTCTCCAGGCTCAACACCCCCAGTTCCCTCAGCTGCTGAGAAGACCCTTCACCATCTTACATTTTGATGTAAATAAGTCACGAATCTTCTTAAAGTTCAGTTCTCTGTCAAAGAGCATCTCACTGTCTTTACTTGTTCCTCTTGGACAATGAGGAGTGCTGCTGAAAAGCTGAGCCTGGGCTGGTGTGGGACTGTGTCTCCTGTGCTGAAATACGTGTGTATATGTATATACAGACAATATCTGTATGTTATGGTGACAGTCTCGAAGGATCTTTGTACAAAACTATTTTCCAATGGGAGATGTTTCCCCTGATGGAAATTCAGATGGAGATTCTAATCCATGGGTCTGGAGAGGCACCCGCTAGCGTATCTCCTGCCTTCTGCTTTTCATACTCCATGGCAGCAGCAACATTTGGATTGCAGAGATGAAATAGTGAAAGCTGGGTTTTGTTGGATTTAATCCCAAACATTCCAGTTGGTTTTTATGGCTTCTGAAATGAAGTTTGTAATTCTTTTTAGCTGGGCCAAGTTTGACCTTAGGTTCCCATTTATCTGTTTTGCTGGTCTTCTAAATAACGGATCTGAGATGGCAAATTCCATGTTTCATGGAGAGCTAACTCATGGCTGCTGTGGAAAGGAGCTTGATATCGATCTGGATGGTAGAGATCACATGTGCAGAAGAACAAAAACCCAATGCTCAGAAAAATCTTGATGCATCCACATGAAGGGACAACAGAGCCACCTCCAAACGCTGTATAAATAGCAAGTCCTAACCACAGATACCATCCACGCCCCTTCCCATCATTGTGGGTGATTCTGCCACCGCGTATTCCCAACGAAAATATAACTGCAGAAGATGGCAGATGTATGGGACACGCAGAGCTTGAAGGGCTGATGGTTTCTTGTAGACGTGAGACAATCTCCTGTTGGAGTTATGAAGACCAGATATTTTTTTTCAGAGCTGAACTTCAAAGCTCACCAAGTATCAGTGGGTCTTTGCAGCCCGTTCCCCGCACAGGCTGCTGCTGTGAGAGCCCTGGTGGTCACACAGACCCTCCCTGGTGGTCACACAGACCCTTCCTGGTGAAAAGCTACGGGTGTTGGCATCACCTACACCTTCCGTGTCCTACAGGACAGGGCACAGACGGCGTCTGTGTGTGCAGTGACGCAGCCCTGAGGGACCATGTGTGCACATCAGCTTGGGTCTGCAGAGGCATTTCTGACCCCCAGAGCTCAGGAGCATCCCATGCACATGAGCTGTTTGTGGTGAGAGCGTGATACTTTCACACTGGCATGAGAACTGGTTCTGTAGCCATCTACCAGTGCTTCTCCACAACACAAGTGGTTCTGTAGCCATCTACCAACAATTCTCCACAGCAGAACTGGTTCTGTAGCCATCTACCAGTGCTTCTCCACAACACAAGTGGTTCTGTAGCCATCTACCAACAATTCTCCACAGCACAAGTGGTTCTGTAGCCATCTACCAGTGCTTCTCCACAGCACAAGTGGTTCTGTAGCCATCTACCAGTGCTTCTCCACAGCACAAGTGGTTCTGTAGCCATCTACCAACACTTCTCCACAGCACAAGTGGTTCTGTAGCCATCTTCTCAGCCTTTTCCATGGCCCCGTGGTTCTGTAGCCATCTACCAGTGCTTTTCCAATGGCTGCAGCTCTCAGAGTTTGGTGATCTGTGAGAAGAGGTGAGGTTGTAGCAGGCACGTGCTGGTTTTAGAATGTGTTCCTCTTTCAGAGCCTTCCCTGGGATCTGGTAAATCAGATTTTACATCTGGTGGAGCAGGTATGGACTTGCCTTGGGTTTTTAAAGCGTGTTTATATGTTGCTACTTGGCCGCCTCCAACCATAACACTGGATTTCATCAACTTGCTCAGTTATGGTGCCTAAATAAATCTGTTCCAACCTCAGGAACTTGCCTTTTAGGAGCAGAGGATCCAAGTCATGGGGAATTTTGAAGCAACTTGTACTTTTGGTGATGTGTTTTGACTTTGCCCTGTAATGCCTTAAAAAATACCTCCTCCCTTCCTGTCCCACCCAAGGACCTCTGGGACCCTTTTTGTTTCTTTCATATAACATTCTTCTGGTAGAATATATCTTTGTTAAGGAATGTATTCAAGATGTTGGGCTTCAGTGTTTATGGATGGTGAACCTACAGCTGTAAGAAACCTGAGGTTAGGTTTGTTGATAGATGACTTCTGCTATGATATCTAAAGGAACAAAATGGACCATTAGTTGCAGGGTTTCTCCTTCATACAGTTCATGTGACCATCTACAGCTGTATACTTCATCTTTTTTGTGGATTTCTGTAGCTACACACTATTCCAACATTGATTTAAAGCAAGTCCTGTGAGGCAGTGCAGTCCTTCCCTGAAGTGGAAGACCTGTTGTGTACCTTTGTGTTACCTGCAGAAAGTCCACCTTGAAGCCTGTCTTACTGTCAGCCTGTGGTGGAGAGGGTGATGGATTTCTTCTTGCTTACTGTCTGGGTTCCAGTTTTATATGAATTCTTGTTTCTAATGTTACATGAATAAATAATGCTCATTACCCAACAATCATAATGAGCTGTAGGAGGATATCAGACCTTGGTGACCAGTAAAAAATTCTCTCTTCTCTACTAGGGAGGAGATGAACATTTTGGACAAGGTAATTTGTCCAAGTTAGGTTGCCCAAGGAAGTTGTGGCTGCTCCTCCCTGGAAGTGTTGAAGGCCAGGTTGGATGAGGCTTTGAGCAACCTGGTCTAGTGGAAGGTGTCCCTGCTGCTGGCAGGGGGGTTGGAACTGGATGAGCTTTGAGGTCCCTTCCAAACCAAACCAGTCTGGGATTCTATGAATTTGTTCTGTATTGTTTGGAATACGAAAATTCCCATTCCCCTCTGTACCTGTGAACTTCTCAGATGTCCTTCCAGTGTCTAGAGGTTCTCCCACCCTTCTGATGTTCTGTACCATTCCTCTCTAACAAGCTTGATGTCTCCTTTCTCTTGCAGAAGAAAATGCAGAGATTACCCTGGACGTGTCGTTAGCGTATCGCGACAACATGTTTGACGATTGGGAGGAGATAGCACACGCAATAGAGATCAGGAGGCTGAAATGCACCTTTGGCTCACCAAAAGTAAGGTGTTTTGATGATGCTGGAGGTGGGGAGGTGTGGGAATGTGGTGGGAGTTGTCCTCTTCATTTCCTTCATGATGTTTCCTAGAAGCTCTTGAGTTGTTCAGGCATAACTTTGAAACATAATGGTTTTCTCTTGGCTCAAAACCTTTGAAAACCTGATGAGCTCCATGTGCAGTTGGTTCTGTTTGGCGATGCGAGAGAAGGGGATGAAGTCAGAGGGAGAGATAAAACTCAAAGGAAGAAAAGGTGTGAGGTGTTGCAGAGGTGTTGTCCTCCACAGTTGTGGTCAGGGTGGAGCTTCAATGCTTTGAGATCTGTATACCCCAAATCATCCTAAAGAACTTGGACCTTTCTATCTTGTTCTTCCACGATGGATAAAACCTTGTTCTTCAGGAGTGGTGAGGAAATGAGTGCCTGGGAAAACTGGGGTTGTTGAGCCTGGAGAAAAGGAGGCTGAGGGGAGACCTTGTGGCTCTGTGCAAGTCCCTTGGAGGAGGGTGGAGAGAGATGGGGGTGGGTCTGTTCAACCAAGGAGCAAGGGACAGGCCAAGAGGAAATGGGCTCCAGTTGTGGCCAGGGCAGTTGAGATGGGATGTGAGGAAGAATTTCTTTGCTGAAAGGGTTCTGAGGCATTGGAAGGGGTTGCCCAGGGCAGTGGTGGAGTCCCCATCCCTGGAGGGATTGAAGAGTCTTGTAGACACAGTGCTGAGGGACATGGGTTAGTCATAGGGGACTGGTCAGTGTTGGGTTCATGGTTGGACTCCATGAGCTTAAAGGGCTTTTCCAATCCAGGCAGTTCTGGATTCTTTGTGAACTAGCCCACCAGGGACACTGCAGCACTCAAAGAACCTGGAGAGGTGGGGCGAGAGTTTCTTAAAATAACTTCTTCATGCCTCAAGCTACAAAGCTGAGGAGCAGCGAGCACGGCCAGCAGTGAGGGCAGAGCATCTTGTTTAAATAAAGATGATTCTTGGTGCTGCAGACTGGAATTCCTGTCTTTAAATTAATCTGGTGTCTGTACATTTCCAAACAGCCACATAAACGTGGGAAATACAGACGAGGGGCAGAGCTGGGTATCGCCCATGAAACAGGACTTGAGGAACTCCAACTCAAGACATGTGTGAGAGGGTTGCCTGGTTTCACAGAATCACAGAATCAATGTCAGGGATTGGAAGGGACCTCAAAAGATCATCCAGTCCAATCCCCCTGCCAGAGCAGGAACCTCAATGAGATCACACAGGAAGGCGTCCAGGCGGGTCTTGAATGTCTCCAGAGAAGGAGACTCCACCCCCTCCCTGGGCAGCCTGTCCCAGGGCTCTGTCACCCTCACTGTAAAGAAGTTTCTTCTCAAGTTGAAGCAGAACCTCCTGTGTTCCAGCTCACACCCATTGCCCCTTGTCCTACCATTGGGCATCACTGAGAAGAGCCTGGCTCCATCCTCCTGACATTCGCCCTTTACATATTTATAAACATTAATGAGGTCTCCCCTCAGTCTCCTCTTCTCCAAGCTAAAGAGCCCCAGCTCCCTCAGCCTTTCCTCAGCAGGGAGATGCTCCACTCCCTTCATCATCTTGGTGGCTCTGTGCTGGACTCTCTCCAGCAGTTCCCTGTCCTTCCTGAACTGTGGGGCCCAGAACTGGACACAATATTCCAGATGTGACCTCACCAGGGCAGAGTAGAGGGGGAGGAGAACCTCTCTAAAAACCAAAACCTTGTTTTGGCTCAGGTTGTGCTTGCTGAGGGAGGGAGCTTGGATCCCAAAGTAACCTTTCATCTTGAAAGGCTCCCTTGAATTTAAATATATTTAAGAGCCTGAGATGTGAACGTGCTTGAGTTCAAACACCATTAACGTAATGATCCAAAACAATGAAAAACTCGAGTAAAACGTCCCCAAACCTCTGATGTTCTCCAGACTTGCACAGCCTGTCCCCAAGTGAAGGTTGGAATTAGCAAACAGGCTCTCGGTGGTAGCAGTGGTCCCAGTGTTTGGGCTGTTGCAGACCCTCACCGTGGAGGAGGTGCTGGTCCATCTGAGGCTGATCACCATCTTGCTGCTCTGTGCCCTTTCACTAGACTCTGGAGTCTGAGGGCCGTCACTACGACTGTGACTTCCTTCCCTTCATGGAGATTGGCAGCGTGGCCCACAAGTACTACCTCATCAACATCCGCCTCCCTGTGAACGAGAGGAAGGGCATCAACGTGGGCATTGGGGAAATCAAGGATATCCGCCTCGTGGTAAGTGCCCATCTTGCTTCTGTCCATGATGTCTGCCCAGGGGCTGCTGCAGCTCCTGTCCTGAGCTCCTCTTTGATCCACAGCAAGGTCCTGCTCTTCATCACCCATAGCTCCTACCTGCAATTGTGGCTTTCCTCCTTCCCAAGGGATGCTCTCTTTGATTGCTGTCTTCTGAGGAGCCCTCCCCAAGCCTCAAGCAGTGCCATCCTCCTGCCCTGCCCTGTGACCACCTCCATGAGCACTTCCCACAGCTCTGAAACCTCCCCTGTGTCCTCTCCTCCCCACCACAGTCTGGCTCAGGTGCAGAGTCCTCTGCCTGATTAAGCCTTTCGCAGATCAGAGCTCATGAGGAACAGAACAGCGGGGCTCACGGGGAACCTGCTCTGTCTTGGAGTTGGCCATCACCAGGCAGATGTTTGGGATGGCTGTCAGCTCTCCCTGCTCCTGCCCTTCCTTGAGGCTTGCTGACCATGGGTGCTCCCAGCTGGAAAACCTCCCACCACTGTCCCTCTTGGCAGGAGCAGTGAGCCAGCCGGCTGTGGTGGCTGCAGACGGCGGTGGGAGGACGTGTGTCTGGAGAAATGCATTCATTTGGCTGATGCTCTTCCCACCAGTGGTGACTTGGCTTCATGAGTATCTCGTTACTTGTCTGAGAGCAATTCTACCAGCCTTCTCCACCCTGGGTCAGACTGGTCTCCACCTCGCAGTGGAAGCTGCGTGTGTTGGTGTTTGTTTTCAGGACCTTTGAAGCCTGCTCAGATGGCCTGGGTGCTAAGGAGGCACCTGCTCCCTTTCCTGTGTTGGACAAACAGCATCTTTCAAAGAGTAGTTGCATCTACGTGTGCTTACATGTTCTGCCCTGGACGTGCCTCTCCTGCCAGGAGAAGCGTGGAGTAGTGATGTGAAACCTTGTACAGCTGTTGAACTCCACCTTGGGTTTTCCACAGGGCATCCATCAAAACGGAGGCTTTACAAAAGTGTGGTTTGCCATGAAGACCTTCCTCACCCCCAGCATTTTAATTATCATGATCTGGTACTGGAGACGGATCACGCTGATGACGCGCGCTCCTGTCCTGCTGGAGAAGTGAGTAGGGGCTTGTGTGCTGGGTAAGGTGACCCTCAAGCGAGAGGAACCTGACCAAGGTGGTTTCTGCTCCCAGGGAGAGCCCATGTTTGAGGAGACAGGGACAGTCTCTTCTCTGTCCCCTCCCTCTTCCCAGGCACACTGGAAGCAGGAGACCTCCATGGCTTCTCTTTTCTTTCCCATTCTCTTCTCCACAGAGAATGAGTAGCTGTGATTGCCCGGGGCTGCTCAGAGGGGCTGAGCCCCAGAGGGTTTGCTGGCAGGAGGTGGTGACACCCCACCACCACTGCCCAAACAGGGCTAGATTGTCTTCTGTTGCTCTTCATGCACAGCTTTGTCTTCTGGGGCTCTGTGTCCTTGCCTTGCAAACTGGAAGGAGATGATGTTTCTGCCTCTCCAGGGTCATCTTTGCTCTGGGAATTTCCATGACGTTCATTAACATCCCCGTTGAGTGGTTTTCCATCGGATTTGACTGGACTTGGATGTTGCTCTTTGGAGACATTCGACAAGGCATTTTCTATGCCATGCTCTTGTCCTTCTGGATCATCTTCTGTGGGGAGCACATGATGGTGGGTACGACATGGAAGGGAAGGTGCTTTCCAGCCCCACTTGGAGCGATACCTGGCAACTCCTTGTACTTGTTGGGTGTTGGAAACAATGCTGGGGAGGCTCGTGCCAGGTGAGAGGACATCAGGCTAACTTGCTTTTCCTTCTCCTCCTCCTCCCCACCTCTTGACCCTCCAATTAGGACCAGAATGAGCGGAATCGTCTCTCAGGGTACTGGAAGCAAGTTGGACCCATAGCTGTTGGTTCCTTCTGCCTCTTCATCTTTGACATGTGCGAGAGGTAGGTGAACGCTGCTCCCGGGGTGAACCTTCCCCGTGCACCTCCTGCTGCAGGGATCAGCAGTTTGACCCCCATGGCTGGTGTGGTGGTTGCACTGGGCCAGCACTGGGCGGGCAGCCAAACCCAGCCATTCGCTCACTCCCCTCACCCAGGGGACAGGGGAGAGAATTGGGGGGCAAAGGGGAAGGAGACTCGTAGGGGGAGAGAAGAACCATTTCATCATGGAAATAAAAGAAAACCTAAAATAATAATGATATGTAAATAATAATGATAATAATAATAATAATAGGAATA